TAGCTATACGGTTTACCCTACCTTTATATTAGGGGTGGAATGCCACCATAAGTTTTGATGAAGTATAATTTCCTTGTAGTCCAAGAGAAACCCATTTTTCCAAACTATTTAATCGATAAGCTAATAAAATTTATAAGGGGAACAGATTCTTTTAACTTTCGATATTTATACCATGTAGGGTAAACCAGAGAGTGATTGCCCACTGGTAGTGATTGCCCGCTTTAAGAATAATATTGTCAGGTGCTGACTTTAAATCACTCTAGTTAGATTTGAATTTACTAAGTAGATGGCTCCGTGATCAATGTACAGTAGATTTAAAATTTACAATAGGAAACACTAAAAAAAAACAGTTATGGCGGATTTTGTCAAGACGGGTGAAAATGTTACTCAAACAGGTAAAGACTTTAACAATTTTACTAAGGAATTACTTATAAAATTTACATATAAAATTCAAATTTTTGCGTCATCTATGTTTTGAAGTAGATGATTCTGTCTCTACCGATTCTGACTCATCAACACCAGCTCAAGAAATATTTGATAATATGTTAATAAGGCCAAACGCAATTTATTTTGAAAGTTTGAAGACTGTACTACTAGAATTTAAGTTTAATGTTTTGTTTTGTTTATTTAAAGCCTATTTTGTCATCTTAAAATTGATAATTATGTTTTAAGATACTGGGCAATTACTGTGCTTTGATGTGGGCAATTAGTGTGAGTAATGGGCAATGACTGTACTTTTTGGAGGATTTTAAATTTATTTCAATATTTTCTAAGTTACGTAAGTTTTAACTAAAAACTGTTAATATTCTGTTTAACAGTTTATTGAGTTATAAGAAAAAAGTCATAAATGGTCAATAATTAAAATACTTTCTTTAATTTTTCATCTCAATGTGTTTGAAATCTTTAAGTGGGCAATAGCTATACGGTTTACCCTACCTACCTAAATTAGAAAATTTAAGCACTGGAATCAACATCTTTGTTATCCTCGGATCGGACATTTTAACATACTGTATTCACGCTATATGTGTGTTGTCAGGCACTGTGACATCACACGAGTGGGGCATAGGTATACCCTCAGATCATAGAAGGGAATAGATGTGAAACGGGGGCGTGGCGCGTGTCTCCGCGATATGCCCAGAAACGAACATCGGCCGCGTAGCTAGGTTAGTCGCGATTCAGTCGTACTAAGGAAATGTTCTCCGATATTTTGGATAATAATGTCGTTACGTGCAATAAAACAAGTGAAATAAAGAACTACAGGAACAATGGAGTCATTTCCTACATGTAAGTATTGCAGATCCATTGGTATTTTGCTTATAAATAAAAAAAACTAAACATTTTTACGAACGAATTCAGTGCCGTAACAGTTACTGCGATATCGAAATCAGTGGTGATAAAAATTCTAACACACTTGTACATTGACGATTTAGTTAGCAACCACTTTATGTCATGCTCAACTACTGCGCAATGTATTTAATTTCTTCCGATATCCACTGTCGTGTGAAAATACACAGTACGGCCGCATGTGCCGGTCGTAACATAGTGCCGTGCTCGTGTTCTAATGCGGTTTCCTATTATCGATAAATAGAAGTAAATTATAATTTTCTATTTTGTAATTTTAAATAAAAAAATGATGTGTTACTTGCGATTATAAGATTTTACAAAAAAATAATAACAGTAGAAGTAATTAGTAACTGTCAACTATGTAATTACTATAAGAGCTAGTTGAAAGCCTAATATAGGCATTATTTTTGATAAACATATGCGGTACGCAGATCGCCATAATTAAAAAGTAAATGCGTGATAGTAGTTAATAATAACGTATAATAATAAAAAGGTTTTCATACATAAGCATTTTGTGAAATCAGTTTCGAGCCTTGCCCCTAGCGATTTAAAGTATCGATATCTTGTCGACTCCATTTTATCTTTGTTCTCTCACTAGCGTTTTCTATGTGTGCGTCACGTCACGCGGCCATTGATTGGCCATAAGGCACGCCTTCTGGCCAATCACAGCACTTTTAAGCCGGTTGCACATGTTGTCGTAGACTCTCAGTCGCTTTGTTTTTACACAGTTGAATGTGTGTGTGGGAGCTGTGGTGGGGGAAATGTGGGGACACTGGTTCTCGTTGTAGTTACGCGCGACTTCATATCTATTCTCTTTCTATGATCTGAGGGTATACCTATGACAACATTCTTATGTGACACGGGCCGTTTCATTACCACGTATGTCGCACGCCCCGCAAACGCCACAAATTGCAATGTGAATATACCCTAAACCGCCGTTGTTCAACCTTCAACCGTTCAGAAAACTCGGGTATTTTACTTATTACACCTTTGTGGTTAATGCAACTAATGGAAAGGCATTAGTCGCTTTGTCGCCTAATGCTTGGAACGTTTCTTATTTTGATAGTTAAATTGGTTCATTGTGTTTAGTACATTACTGTCACGTTTTGCGTTGGCATTTAAACACCAAACTGATGGGCCTGATATAACTTTTACAATACATTAACAGGTATTGTGTTTATTTATAGAAAATGATAAATGATGAACGGCGTTTTATTTGTCTCTACAATATCATTATTTAATTTTGTGACTACATTAACAATGTTTTGTATTTATTTTTAAATAAAATAACTTTTTATCAAGGCGAGAGTGAATAGGCACTTATAAGCCAGGTATGTACAATCCTAGACTGCATCTCACTTAGCATCAGGAGCGATTGCAGTCAAATGCCTGCGTTGTTCAACACAAAAAAAAAACAAAAAAAAAGGTTCAGAGAGGATTTCGGTGACTGTTAAAATAATTAGTGTGCACCATTAATCGGCACGAATAATGTCAAAAAATTACACTCTCGGGAAATGATTCAAGTCACGACATGTCACATCAGTAATCATAATAATGTCACTTAAATTAACAGCAGCGGCTGACAAATGAATGGAAGCCTCGTGTATGCATGTTTTGTATGAGAGGTAACTTTGATGTGTTTAGATTGTGAGTGTTTTTATTTCGTCAAAGTGCTTTCAATTCAAGCACTTATCATAATAAATATTTTTTATTGATCGCTAATGTTAGTTTTATGGGTAATCCGCAGTAATGACATAAGTAATTTTTGGTTTAATTAATCTTAATAGTCAATAAAAATATACATAGTTTAAACATAATGTCCAATTTTTTTTCAACTAACTAGATAAACGTAAAAATCTAAATAATATTTTTCATTCGGACACAATAATAATTACTCTTTTCTAAATTAAAAAATGTGTAATCTTTTTAATTATCAGAACGCAATTTAATACAACGTCGTCTGTCTATTTTATAATTCAATGTTATTTTTCTTTGTCCCCACAGTGAGGCCTCTAATAGTGGAGATTCTGGCAAGAGAACAGCCGTTAACAGTTGGACAGGAGGCTGAGCTGGCCTGCAGGGCAGTTGGTGCCAGGCCGCCCGCCATCATCTCCTGGTGGCTGGATGAGAAGCCCCTGATTGCTCATTCACAAAAGGTTCGTATCATCTTTGTCCCAACAATGAGGCCTATTAATAGTGGAGGTCCTGGCGAGAGAACAGCCTTTATCAGTTGGCCAGAAGGCTGAGCTGGCCTGCAGGGCAGTTGGTGCCAGGCCGCCTGCCATCATCTCTTGGTGGCTGGATGAGAAGCTCCTAATTGCTCATTCACAAAAGGTTCGTTTCCAGAAATACATATATCAAATCTGTTCTTTTATTATTTTTTAATACGTGAACAATGTAGATAAACTTAAAAGACAAGACTATTTCATGTTGTTTCAATTTATTTGAATTGCATGAAATTTTAAGAAAAAGAATTGTTATAAGCTCATGTTCTTGTTTAAAAATAATGTTCATGAAAGTTTAATGAAAAAGTAATGTAGTAATTGTAATAACTCTTAAAACTTTTTAAAATGCATGTTCAAATCCCAAATAACAAGAATTATGTATTCTAAAAAAATGGAAGGGAAAGTTTTAGCAGCTCATTGTGTCTTTTGTGTTGCCATTTCACGCCAAATTCATTGAACTGATTTGGAATTGGTGTTGAGGAAAAACATCGTTTCGTGGCTGTGGCAAAGCTGTGAACAAAAGCTAGTCCTTAATAAGAACTTTTGTTTCAGAACTCAGAAGACCGTAACGAAACGGTGTCACTTCTACGCTGGACACCCCAGATGGAACACGACGGCCGAATACTCACGTGTAGAGCGGCGCATGTGAAGCTCGAACACACTACAATAGAGACTACTATGTCCCTCAATTTGCACTGTGAGTTACATTGTACAGACTTGAACAAGTTCCGTCGAGTTCATTATACCGTGAAAAGTTGCCAGTTTTGGATTTAGCCAGATCTTTGGCTAAATCCAAAACCGGCAATTTATGGCATTTATGGGTAGCATTTATCGGGATAATAATTTTAGGAGAAGAAATGCTTGATAATTCTGATGAACATTTTATAGTGCCCATCTAGGAGTATATTTAAATAGCCCAATGGTTTAGGTGTCGGACTGCCGACTCGAAGTTCGCTAGTTTGATTCCTGTTGACCGCTGAACTAATGTAGTGAACACAGACCCAACATAACATCATACATAACATCATCATATATTGACTTTTCTTCAACAGATGTGCCAATAGTAGTCCTGGAGCTAGGCTCCAAGTTAAACCCTAACGACATTGAAGAAGGCGACGACGTGTACTTCGAGTGCGTGGTGCGAGCAAATCCCCCGGCCTACAAAGTTGTGTGGGAACACAATGTAAGTGTTTTTGATACTACCTTTTGGAAATGAAGAATAAATTTTATAATAATACTTACATTAACTTAAAATGACTTAAAAACTAAAACTTAAAAATTACTATTTATAAAAACTATTTACAAAATAAAAAATACATTATAAAATTAACTTCAAGATGATTTCGAGCATGAGCATTCACTTGTAACAGAACAACGAGCCGCTCTATGATAAAAATATGTTCTAGTGTTCGCTCTTTCACGAACCAAACGTCGTACATTTTATCTGTTGTACAATACAGATTTATAAGAACGTTACATCACATAGAAAAGCTCTAGTCAATACTCACTTTAAGGGTTTGTATAAAAAATTAAGTACACAATAACTTTTGGTACACTCAATCATAGATTAGGTTGTGTTGTGTCAATATTTGGATCAATCACATTCACAGGTTATTCTTGAGTATACATTGATAGAGTCCATTCATGGCCCTTTAACACCTACGCAATCGTATGAGATTGTGTCACTCCACTCTATATCGACAAATTATGTGCTCTACTATAAAGGTTAATACTTATTTACAAAATTAGAGGCATGAAAGCGAAGTATAGGTAAGGATTTTCCACTTATCTTTGTATCTTGTTTGTATTGAATGATTTTATTGTGATATGAAATATATCTAAATCTTTTGCACGCGAAAAAAACTTTTTAGTGTTACGTCATGATATTTTTCAAAATGGAGAAAACTTTGAAAGTACAATTAATAGAATCAAATTCTAAAACAAAGATATATCTTTCTTACTAATTAGTTAAGTACCTATATCATAATATTGAGTTCTATTTCGGGATCCGTAATTATAGCTACCAAAAGATTTAGCGGAGAAACTTTACGAACTTATTTGCTAACTGAAAACATCTTGTAGTCATTATCGCTGAAGAAAATAACTTTTTTGTCGTCGATTTTCTCTATTTTTACCCGGGATAACACACAGCACTTAGTTTATCTTTGTTTTGATATTACGGTAAATCCATTAAATCAAACTAAATATTTTTGTATTAGAGATAAATAAGATTAAAAGAAATATACAGTTTAACAGTAGGTAGTTTAGTAGTATTTGTGATTGATTGTGACACGAAACTTGTTGATGATGAAAAAGTATAATATAACAATGTAAATTATTCTGATGAATACCTAATGAATTCCTACCATACAAATGGTGGATCACCCACTTGTTACTAGCGTTCTTTTAAAAGAACGCTAGTTTTTACATAAATATTTTTACTAATGTGGGTAGTGTAAACAATTTTTATGTGCAACATTTGAAAGATGAGGTGTGTCGCAGTACTGTCCAAGTCTTATAAGTACACTGACGTAAATAACAATAAAGTTTTGGAGCAATTGTTTTGAGATAAATTTATCATGACTGATTTAAGGTAAGTGATAGAAAAAGTTAATTCCGTAACAAGTGGGTTAACTTTACGAACCCTGTTTATAATAACACAGAATAGTGGAATTTTGAAATTTTTTCTATTTGCCTCTGGTAAATTAGAAAGATTCATGCTCCAGCAGTGGAGCCTAATCTGATGATGATGATCTTTCAATCAAAACTTCCTTCCAAAACTAAGTGATGACGCACAACCAAATGACCGGCGTCATAGCCGGGTCAGCGCACCTGGCCTTTCAAGGGGTGTCATGGGAGCTTGATTTCTATTTTGTCTCAATTCGCGGGGTTTGAAGGGTTACATAATTTGTTTATAATGATGCTTCAAGCAAAGTCTCCTTCCAGAACCAAGTAATAATACACAACCAAATGGCCGGCGTCATAGCCGGGTCAGCGCACCTGGCCTTACAAGGGATGTCCCTAGAGCTTGATTTCTATTTTGTTTCGATTCGCGGGATCGGAAGAGCTACATGATTTGATGATAAATCCTTCAAGCAAAGTTTCCTTCAGAACCAAGTGATGACGCACAACCAAAGGCCCGGCGTCATAGCCGGGTCAGCGCACCTGGCCTTACAAGGGGTGTCATGGCAGCTTGATTTCTATTTTGTCTCGATTCGCGGGGTTTCAAGGGCTACATGATTTGATTATGATCCTTCAAGTAAAGTTTCTTTTCAGAACCAAGTCATGACACACAACCAAAGGGCCGGCGTCATAGCCGGGTCAGCGCACCTGGCCTTACAAGGGGTGTCGCGGGAGCTTGATTTCTATTTTGTTTCGATTCGCGGGGTCGGAAGAGCTACATGATTTGATGATAAATCCTTCAAGCAAAGTTTCCTTCCAGAACCAAGTAATAATGCACAACCAAATGGCCGGCGTCATATCCGGGTCAGCGCACCTGGCCTTACAGGGAGTGTCGCGGGAGCTTGATTTCTATTTTATTTCAATTCACGGGGTTTAAAGGGCTACATGATTTGATGATAAATCCTTCAAGCAAAGTTTCCTTCAGAACCAAGTGATGACGCACAACCAAAGGCCCGGCGTCATAGCCGGGTCAGCGCACCTGGCCTTACAAGGGATGTCCCGAGAGCTTGATTTCTATTTTGTTTCGATTCGCGGGGTCGGAAGAGCTACATGATTTGATGATAAATCCTTCAAGCAAAGTTTCCTTCCAGAACCAAGTGATGACGCACAACCAAAGGGCCGGCGTCATAGCCGGGTCAGCGCACCTGGCCTTACAAGGGGTGTCCCGGGAACAGGCCGGCCGGTACGTGTGTACTGCGAGCAACGTCGAGGGCGATGGGAAGTCTCAACCGGTCAATCTACAAGTTATTTGTAAGTTTTAGTTTTTTTTATTAACTTTAGGAATTAGTATGACACGTATTTAATTAATTACTTAATTTGTAAATGGATGATTTTATGTGTCTGAACTTGAATGTCCAATTAGACGTCAATTTACTCAACTCCATGTGAGGGATAAGTTTGGATGTCTGGATGTTTGTTACTCTTTCACGCAAAAACTACTGAACGGATTTTGATGAAACATTACAGTATTATTGTTTATATAACCCAAAATAACATGTCCTATCCTACTGATATTATAAATGCGAAAGTTTGGATGTCTGGATATCAGGATGTCTGGATGTTTGTTAGGTACTCTTTCACGCAAAAAGTACTGAACGGATTGTGATGAAACTTTACAGTATTATTGTTTATAACCCTGAATAACATATAGGCTACCTACCTACGGTCGACAGCACGTCAACGTAAACACTGCGGTATCTTACGTAGTTGCGATAGGGGCGAGTTTGCAACGAAAATGTATAGCTTGATGTGCTGTCGACTGTACATTTTATTTCAAGACGATTTGGGAAGAGATTTGGGAAGCATGGAGAATTTTTTCTTATAACGTAAATTCAATACATGTAAATAAAATTCTAAGCATCCAAAATAATTTCAAAATATAATAACATTTATTTACAAACAAAGCAACTTCAACGTTTCGGTAGCTTATAAACACAAATTTCAAATTCCGCGTTAAAATGTTCGAACCAACAATCCTGAAAGTTAAAAAGGTTCGGCGCAGGGTTAAAATTTCGGGTCAAGCTGTAAAATTTAAGCGGAGCGCCCGTGTCGCAGCGATAACCGGCTAGGGGTTAATTCCCACCATATATCGCGAGATTACCCCATACATTCATTATTGCTTTGACGAACATAATACTTCATTACCAACATGTTTAAGCTTGAAGCAAAACATAATTTGGAACGGTGCTGATAAGTTAAACGTTGAACGTAGTGATTGGAGTTTGCACCAGTTTAGTTTGCGTATTTTTATGAGCATTCAAAACACGATTTGTCTATTATTTTTAATAGGTACTGATTAATAGACTTCAGAGCTACTGAAATCTGAGTTTTTTTTTGGGTTTTTTGGCTTTTAGGATTTTTCATACATGGATGCTTATTCTTGACACAAATAAAGCCTCGTTTATAAATTCGTAAACAAATTATGCATATTTCAAAGTGCTTGTGATTGTTAAATAATATTATTTTACAACTAAATATTTCATCCATTTACACAGCATTACTTTCAGCCTACGTAATAAATGTGCTGATTAATATCAATGGCGCTATGACGAGTGTTTATCCAGTAGTAAAGCTTTTTGAACATACTCCAATAATATTCCACAAAACCACTAATTAAATAATTATTCAAATTATCAGTGAACGGCAATTGATCGAATCCTGTCGAATATTCTGACATTTCCAACTGTGTACTTGACTGTACGAATATTATGTGTGCACATAAAATCGTGTGTATATTGACGACAAATATCAATTTCATCGGATGAATACCCAAACAAATGGCTTTCACAATGCAGCTTGTTAATTTTACCACCATTAGTGCCATATTGGAAATAACGAAGCAGCGTAGATAATTAAAAGGGAAACATAAGCTGAACAACAGTGTTATTTGAACACGCGTTTCGGTTCTGGATGAATTAGCGCGACTGTTCGTGTTTGGTTAGTTCTGGATTCTAGATATTGATGGGTTTGGATGGACAAAACGGTATGTGAATTTGATGACTAACTGAATAGTTTGATAGAAACAAAAAAAATTAGTTACTAAATAAATCATCTTACATTATTGTGATAGGCTGCAAATAGTCTGAAAATAGCCCAATATTTGGGTAAACAGCAAAGTAGTCAATTTTGCGTTAAACATAGTAGGTAGTTAAACAAGCTTGTTGGAAGAGTCTTTCAGTGATTTGGCCCACTTTTAGCTTGGAACACGGGTCAAGTCACTGGATTGAATTTTTAAATATTTTTCCTTGTAGCAACTGGGCCCACTCTAAGATTCTAGAGTAGTTTTTTGTTGAGTTGGTGTTTAATTTAGGGGTCATCCATAAAGTACGTCACACGTAAAGAGGGGGGGAGGGGGTTGACAAAGTGTGACATGGGGTGACAAGGGGTGGGAGGGGTCCTAAGTTTCGTGACATCACATTTCAATTGTTTCAAATATTTGATATAATGTTGATTTCATAAAAAAAAAAGTACTTAGTTTAAATTAAAATAAAACTAATTTCGGAACTGCTGTTAATTTAATANAAAAAAAGTACTTAGTTTAAATTAAAATAAAACTAATTTCGGAACTGCTGTTAATTTAATAATTTTTTGATGTGAAATTGCAAAACATGTGACGTCACACTAGGGAGGGGGGGGGTCTCAGAAATGTGACCACCTGTGACAAGGACGGAGGGGGGGTAAAAAAATCATGAAATTCGTGTGACGTACTTTATGGATGGCCCCTTATAAGTAAAAACTAAAAATAAAAATTGGAAGAAAAAGTATTTAAAAATTCTATCCTGCGACTTGGCCCATGGACCAAGCTAAAAGTGGGCCAAGTCACTGGAAGACTCAAATGGAATTCCGTATAACTTTGTATCCGAAATGGTCCGAATGATTTCTGAGAAGAAAACACTATTCCCTTAATCTTTAATTAAACTTGACGTCAATTTGCTTTGCTATGGCGCATAGTAGAATGCCAGTTCTCATTCTCATCACAGATCGCTTTCCGACCTGCCGACTATAAACAGACTGAAAGGGACATTTCCATTTGAGGGCGGAGGGTCGGAGGGCTAGCACGCAATAACCCCGTGTATGCGTCCCTCTGTGCTGAATCAAAGTTGTCGATACTGTATTGCATACATTTGCAAGTAACGTGCCGTAGACCGGCATTCAATTTGCGATGCTGGCTACATAGAGCGAGGAGGTAAGCAAGATCATTTGATACGCTGTGATAAATATACAATTGAAAGTTGTTACGCTAACTTATTCCAAATTATACAGAACTTGTACTATGAGAAACTGCAGTTCAGAAAGTTTTAGAACGTTTTTGACCATTGGATTTTAATATAATTCATGCACAAAATAACAGTAAAGGAAATAGGTTTAGTTTTTTTTTAATGGGACAGGAGGCAAACGATTAGTGTGTGCAACAGCCTACCAAGATTGAGTAGGTATTAATTTAACGTTAGCTACGATAGCATAAGTAACTTTTACTAACGTAGTGACTTGAGTACCTACATAACTGGACATTTTTTTTTTTATGCTAGACAAGGCAGGTATTTGACCGCAATCGCACCTGGTGTTAAGTGAGATGCAGTCTAGGATGGTACATATCTGCCCTGTAAGTGCCTATTCACTCTCGCCTTGAAAACGCCCTTATTTTAATATAATTTTTACGTCAAAAATTGTTAAATAACACCGTACATGCATTGACTCTCAAAGTTAGTTTTTATGTTAGGTCTTTTGTTTTAAAATTGTCTAAACTTTATTATTTGAGCTGTATTCATGGGGTGCCGGTAGGCTTGTGTTCCTATGAATTGATGTACTCTCAACCCAGTCAGATGTAAATATTGACATGGTATATCATAAATATTCTATGACTATGCCACTGTTACATAGTTGATAGCCCACAAATAGCCGGCCGAATCGGTTTTGATTCGACTGCGAATAATATGCAGTGAGGATATAGAAACTTTTATAATTTTACTCGTATACGATGCTTAGACTAGATTTCTCAGTTTATGTATAATGTAGAAGTACCGCCAAACAAATTTCTATTTGGTGTCTTTTCGGGCTTTTTAGAATATCAGTTTGTTGGCCGTTTGGTGTAGTGGTTCGAAACGGACTACTATGCCGAGAGGTCCGGGTTCGATTCCCGACCGGTCAGAAATTAAATAAACACTCATAACATAAGCATTAAGTTGTTTACTTTGGGGCTAGCTGGCGCTGTGTGTGATTGTCCAAAGATTTAAAAAGATGTAAAAAAAAAGGTTTTTTAAATAACTTGATGAATTCCGAATAGTCTCGACTGTTAAGTATTTAATAATAAACGTCCTAAGGTTGAAATTGCTGTGTTTCAAATCCAATCAAATCAAATCAGTTTATTTGCCTGAAAATTGGTATACAAGTTCTTACAATATTAACTTTACGAGTCATAAACCTAGTCGTAATAATAATTGCATTATGTTATAAATATAATGGATACAGGAAATTAACAATAACAAAATGAGCCTGAATGATAACTTACTGTAAAAATATCAAAAAAATGAATAAAAAATAAGGTTCACTTTTGACTGGCCCTTTTTATACCAATTTGACCCATTATTGACAAGTGACATGGACATTGTAGTGAAAAAACGTGGCAGTCGTGAGATGACTGACAGTCAATGACAGATTGGCACTGGCATGTGATGTCATCAGATTTAAAGTCTGAACCATTTTGATATCGTGGCGGACTAAAAATTATTGAATGTACCGATCCCTCTTTTTTATTAACATTTCCAAGTCTTTATAAAAAGCCTATTGCTAAATACGTTTCATACATGAAAAAAAAAGTTGTAATTTTATTTGTGAAACTATTTCATCCTTTGATCATAATGAATCTTTTACAAGTATCTCAAAGGTTGGAACTTCGTATAATCAAATTTTAACAGGAGCCGATGTTTGCCCTTTGTATAATTAATTGATCAAATCAACCGATGCTGGCAAATTAATTCAATAACACTAGTTTGCATACAGGGTTAGTTTGGAGCGACAAACGTTCAGAGTAAACACAGAATTTGTAATTCAATATGTTATCAATCGATTCCGCAAGATAATCAAGTTAGTGGAAGCCGGTGGGTAAACAGAAACATTTTTACTATAAATAGATATCAAGGCCTATTTAGTGAGAAGACTGAAGTCTTTCAAGGCCACTGTAAATGAGTATGTGTTTATCTTTTTATAAATGTAGAAGGTTTTTTGTTCCCAAATTAGTTTTGATATTTTGAGATCCTAATGAGGGTTTTTTCGAATATTATGAATAGCTTATGTCGTGTAATTACGTGTCGGAATGTACCTACGTATTGTATAACGCCCACGAAACCTGCCCCCAGTGCTCAAAAATAATGTAATATGATACTAAATCAATTAACTGACAAGCATTTACATCTCCCACACGTTTTACAGTAGGTACCCATCAAACTTTTATCTGTCACCTTACAACCCTGTAACATTCAGGAAAGTGGTATTTATAAAGAAAAGCCAGAAAGCATCATTTTTGAGCCAACTTGCGTCCGAAGAACACTAATTTATATTTAAATTAATCACTTTTTTCCTTATCTCCTTAGATAAGCCGGTATGCACAAACCCCCTAACTGCCATCGTCGGGGCAGCATTCAATGAAGCTGCCAAAGTGACGTGCGAGGTGGACGCCTTCCCTCCGCCCAAGAACTTCCAGTGGACTCTGAACAACTCTATGGGGACTACTGAGCTGGACGCGGTAAGATACTTTACCTGGTGGTGGAACTGATGCCACCATATTTTGAACTGTACTCAGATTACTTAACGTTCAAAACCAATGAAAAATAATTTTCTCTATACTAGTTTTAAAGGGTTGTCATAAAACTGTTTGAGAATAATGTATTTTTTTTTATTGACGGTTAAGGTCGATATTGAATCACGTGAAATTAAATCTGTTTGCTTGATTTTTTTGTTTAATAGCTCGCAATTGATATCCTTCCATAACATGATAACTATTAATAACAGCTGTACGAGTACACTTTATTTTTATCTTTTTTTTCGGTAAGATTATCATTATTTTCAGAATAACCTACTATTGGATTAATAATATTACGACTCCGTTAATATTTTTCACATTATTACCTGTTAGTAGATAAAAGTATCAGACTTACCATAGGCACATACGATGGTGGAGGCTTCCAGCTACAACTGCATATTGATCTGAAACCAAAATTTTATTTTGAATTTTCTTCAACAGTCAAAATTCACGGTGGACAGCGCGGGCCGATCCATCCTCACATACACTCCTACAGTAGAGACCGACTACGGGTCCCTATCCTGCAGAGCCACAAATCTAGCTGGACAGCAGATTGAGCCCTGTCGGTATAACCTACTACCAGCTGTGAGACCAGACCCTCCATTCAACTGCTCAACAGTCAACCTGACTGACGACTCAGCTGAACTACGATGTGTTGCTGGTACGTTTCAGAACTTTTACTAGATAAAACCTTTTCTCAACTATGACATAGGTACTGGCAGCATAAAAATGTATAAAGAAAAAAAAACTTTGAACTTTTTACTCAACACTTTTTTGTTGGCCATTCCGACAAAGTAATTAAAATATTGTGCCTACATATTTTTGAATTTCGAATTTGTCGACTACATTTTTCCCGACCTAACTCTATTTGACTTTTTTGTTTGTTTGTTTTGTGATACTGGCCATCAAGAATTTTGATGAAAGTATCTGTTTTTATTACGAATAAAAAAACCTTCTTTTGTTTATTTTGGCGCGAGTTGTCTGCAATTTTAACTTTTATAAGCGCGCTTTCAAATTAGAAATTTTGAGCCGGACGTGGGTAAGTATGTCGTGCTTTTGCAAGACCGTACATTGTATGACAACTGCGTCGGAATAAAATTGACAATTACCAATAGTTAGTGTGCGGTCCTGCAAACGCACGACAGACGTCCTGCTGAAACGTCTAATTTGAAAGAACTTTTTGTAGTGTTAAAATTGTGATACCGCTTATATTGAGATAATATTTGAAGGATTATTATCCCATAGGTTACGACGGCGGTCTTCACACCATATACTTCGTCGAGGCATGGGAGACTGGGACGCTAATTGCCAATGCTTCTACCCCGACCCCCACTTGGAAGTTACGAGGTCTGGGCTCAGGGAAAGCCTTGAAGCTTGTGTTCTATGCTCACAATGCGAGGGGGAGATCTGAAACTACTACGTTGAGAGTACACACGCTATCGCGGTTGGCGTTACATACAGGTTGGTAATATAATTATTATAATTATTTATATTTTTTCAATTGTTGACACCTGTTGTCTTATGCGTTCCATTATACTGTAAAAAATCATCATTTTTTATAAATTTATATATTTTTCAAAAACTGGTAGCATTAAAATTATAATGGAAAGAGTATAAATAATTAAGGAGCTTTTAAAAGCCTAAGTGAAAAATAATTAACTACAATTATTTTGAGTAAATCTCAAATATTTTATAATGTCTTTTTGTTCAAAGGGATTACATCTTTGATGCTTTGACTAAGCTTACAGTTTTTATAAGAAACTAGCTGACCCGGCGAACTTCGTACCGCCTTAGCGTAGAGATTTTCTTAATATTTTTTTCCGTAAGAACCATCCTTGGACTTCCACAAACATTTAAAAAAAAGAATTATCGAAATCGGTTCAGCCGTTCACACGTGATGCCGTGACAACGCGAAACGGGTTTCATTTTTATATATATAGACTAGCTGACCCGGCGAACTTTGTTCCGCCTTAATGGCAATAGATAAGCAGACTTTTTTTTTAATTTCGAACGGGATAAAAAGTATCCTATGTCCTTCTCCTGGCTCTAAACTAGTTCCCTGACAATTTTCAGCTAAATCGGTTCAGCCGTTCTTGAGTTATAAGTGGAGTAACTAACACGACTTTCTTTTACATATATAGATAAGTAAATAATTTTCATATTTTCATTACCAGTTGTGTTATGATCATAAATTACCTGTACTCTTGACAAGTCAGTCTAAGATTTCAATCAGCCTCAAAAATAGATGTAATAATATCATTGATTAATTTATTTTAGACCGAAAAAAATCTCTATGTATGAACATATTTTATGATTTCCATTTAGTAAGTTAATTTGAACTTTTCTTATTCAAGTTTCAGCATTTACTTTATTTTTATTAGGTTACGTTAGATGTCGCACCTTCATTCAAACCCTCATAATTTATGAATAATTACTATTCGGATGTGTTAAGGTTCGACCCAACCAACGCGATCAGCCAGCGTGTGCGTTGACGATCAATGCATTTAAGTCTGATCGCCATCGCGATGTGCACGCCGGCTGCACGCGTTGGTTTGGCCGAACCTTTAACCCCTCATGATTTCGCGCCTTTCTATTACCACAGACATAAATTACGAAAAACCATTCTTGTGACGTGTATAAACGATCTTCATCTGTTTATTTTACTTTTTTTTAAACAGAAGCAAAGGCATCCGCCGGCAACGTCGACACCAGCTGGGCGCTCGGGATCATAGCTGGCACCATCGGGACTCTAGCGGCGGTGGCTGTCATAGCGCTGCTCGCTAGGAGAAGGCACCACCGGCCTATGCAGTACGAAGGTAGGTGTTATTTGTAAGTGCACTGTTTTTTACTAACTTCAAAAAAAATTTTTTTTTGTCTTCGGCACTTTTCGATTTTGGTTAAAGTACCTAATAATGTGCTCACAGTTTTTATTGAACTTCAAAAAATTCTAAGAGCTTGTTCAATGGAGGCATCCCGATTTTTGCAGGATCTCATTTAATATTATGCGTGTTTTAATTCTTCGTGAGGTACAGGCCAATTGCAAGGTTTTAAAACGATTAAGTACTTTTTACCCAAATAGGTACGAAGAAATTTTAAACTTTGAAATAAAATTCAAAACAACAGTACATTGACGTAGGTGTTATCTACAAAATCCTTCCAAACACGAACGCCTTTTAGAAACGGTATTGGCTTCGTACAGTTGCAACAAATACAGTTTCATTGCAAATTCGCCTCTATCCCAACTGCATAAGGTGCTACGGTATTTAGCTTGATATACCGTCCGTACATTGTAGGCGCTTAGCGTGATACCCAGTAGCTTTAGAAGTAATAGCCAAAGTTTATTTTACGACAAAATTACCACCTCTGACGAAAATGTTTACCGCATTTTAAAATTTACCAAATTACTCACTCAACTTGCAAATGGATACTTTAATGGGCCGATTGTAAATTTTATGACACGATTACACTAAAATCTTTTGCCTTCTAAAGTGTTTCTTTGATAATAATTTATGTTAGTTAGTTGGACCACAAACATTTAACTTTTTAATAATCTGGATTATTCATAGGAATACTAGTCACAATCCAGAAAAACTCAGTTACTGTACTTTTTCTATTTATCACTCACTAGCTTTCCGCCCGCGGTTTCGCTCGCCTGTTATTATGTCTGTCACAGAAATCGCGCGTCCCTGTTTCAAAAACCGGGATAAAAACTATCTTATGTCCTTTCCCGGGACTCAAACTATCTCTATGCCAAATTTCATCAAAATCGGTTCAGTGGTTTAGGCGTAAAAGCAAGACAGAGTTACATTCGCATTTATAATATTACTTAGTATAGATGTGGCTACATTAGTGCTAGAACCTCTGTGAGTACATTTAACATACCCGTACACAACCGAGTTTGTGTATGAATGTACATACATAGGCGCTTTCTTACCAGAAATATTTTCCTGTAACGAATTCTTACAGGAAAATGATTTTAACAATAGTTATTAAGCCACAATACTGCCTCACTGAATAACCAAGACTGACTTTTAATTGAATGTAATATTGGTAAATCACGACCAGTGATTTCTTTTAACGAAAAAGCAGACAATGAAATTTTGAAAAGAGGAAAATGCCTTTGTTTTCGGTGAAAATCTTTCTATATTTCCAAGCACACCTTTCATGAACTACTAATATTATAAAGAGGTAAAGTTTGTGTGTTTGTATATTTGTTAAATTGTAAGGGGTAATCTCGGGATATACTGAACCGATTTTAAAAATTATTTCACCAATAGAAAGCCACATTATTGCTGAGTGTCATAGGTTATCTATAAAACCGAAAAATTCCACTCGGGCGAAGCCGCGGGCGGAAAGCTAGTGTACTAATAAAGCAATTTGCAATAGGAGTAGATATTAGAAGTAAACTTTATTTACCTACCAACAACCAAACGTAAATACCAAGAAAGTAAGTTAACATTGATTTAAAATACAAACTGCATATGGATACAACATTAATCGGTGTAAGTGAAATTATTGCAAATCGTTTTGTGGGAATGGAATCTCGTTTAATATTTGGATTAACACTAGAAAGGCCGCCGTCCCATTTTTGTCCCACTCGCGAGTTTGATCGTCTCTAACTTTTTTATTTTTCAACCAAAGTCCATGAAACTTTTTGACTTTTCCTGATTTATTGAATTTTATCATTTTTTTATGTTTTTGATAATATAACATTATTAGAAAAAATTTAAAAATCGGTTTTACCTAGAAGCGCCACTGGGTCATTTTTGTCCCACCCTGGTATTTACAACAATAATTCAATGAAGAGTCCTTGTTTCGAGGAGATACGAGAATGTAGAGGTGAGGAACGTTTAGGTGACTCGTCGCAATGCAGAAATATAAATATATTGTACTAGTTTTTGCCTGTGACTTCACCTAGTGAGAAATTAAGTTTATCATAGAAATACCTAATTTTTTGACACTTATCGTTGTTATTTGACCAAATAACTGAATATTATTGTAAATTATAGACAATATTATTATGTTATTCTGAAGTATATTGACAATAAAACTGCAAAGTTTTATTAAGATCGGCTTAGTTTTTTTTCCGTAAAAGAGTGAAAAAACAACAATTGATCTAACCATGAATCCACACTCACTTAGTTCAAGTTCAAGGCTTACATCCACCCATTCATCCTTCCTATCCGTTCATCGATGCATCCATTCATCAATTCATCAATCTTTATTAACTTTTACATTTATAATATTAGTAGGAAGGTGACTTCTAGACATGGGCCAGTTCATACATTGTATGATTTGATACATTTTTAAAATGTGTGACTTATATATTTTTTTTAATTAAACGAACATACTTTTCATTGTAACTGGTAAAAAACTTCACTGTGTGTGTACGGATAACAGAAAAATAACCATACCCATAGAAATTCCTAACACATAGTAGACCAGAGATACAAAAAAACCATACAAAAAACTTTGTGCAAAATGTGCACTATTATTTGTAAGATATTTATATATTATTCCTTCAAAAATAATAATGAATAGTTAAAGTAGTAATTTCATGATTTTAATACAGTATAACACTATGTAACATGACGTGACTATTTTTATATGAAACCAAAAATATCTGTCTTTTAATAATTCAAAATTAAAATTGAATACACTTATATTTTAAAAAGAAATAAGTACATATTGATTTATCTACATAGATAAACCATTTTTAAGGATACTACAAATAGTTTTAACCATAATGTTCATGCCTGAAACTAAAAAATGTTACAAAATATATGCTGGGACAAAATTGACCCAGCAGCGCTTTTAGGGGGGTCGTAATCTTCGGCACTTTAAATTTACAAACTCCCAATTTTCATGAAACGTTTATTTATTAATTGACGTTCATGTTATTTTATATTTCGATGTGTGTATTTCGATTGCAAATTAAAATTGTTTAAGGCCGGGTAGCAGAGAAAATGGCGAAAATGAGGTTTTCATTTTTCATTTTTGAGGTACTAAACAGTAAAATTAAAGGCTAAGATTTTTATTGGGCATAGTTGAGGATATTTTCTAGGGCTATTAACGGATGGAAACACGATTTGATGAAGTTGACTCGATAGAATAAATTCCCAAAGTTACCTCTATTCGTTTTCTAATTATGGTTTTATTTTTAAAATAAGCGATTTGAGATTCTAAATCTTTTACTAAACTAAAGTTCAGAAATAACTTGAGGGCTTTTAACGGATGGAATTTTTATATTGCGTCTTATTTAGTTACTATGTTAAAAAATGTGGAAAAAATCGTCCATGACGGCTTGGACAATCTCAATCAGTCGCGCGGTGGCGCTTACGGAGGACGGACGCGTGTCAGTTTTTTGGACGTGACAGTTCGCGATTTGTCAATATTTTTGACAATGATGACTTTGATGAGTCACAGTATAATAATATCAGTGTTACTGGAGAAAGCTAAAATATTTGATAATTAAGAATTATCAATTTTGTCTACCTATTGAAATTTAAATCGTTCGCATCCTTTTAAACGAAGACTCTACTCATGATACATAGTAAATTCCTTAAATATGAGACAAAACCAATGAGTTAAAATTACATATTAATAGTACCTACATACAATCGTCTTACACTTATTAGAAGAGCACACTGATACAAATAAATAATAAAAAATTAGGTCAGAGGGTCAAATATAGGGGCAGCTGCACGTCACTGAAAGACGATTCTGTTTACTCGGCATCTGGGCTGGAGAACATGAACCCTTGTTTACAGATGCAGATGTAAATGGAGTTATAACTGGACAAATTTTACATGAAATGTTTAACAGAAATCAGTTAAAAGACACATACATGGAATACCAATAAGGTTGCGGAGGGAAAGCTACCTATTATAAACTAGCGGCCGCCCGCGACTTCGTTCGCGTGGACCTCGTTTTACCCCCGTTAGATATCATGTTGATAGATGGCGTTTCACGGCTTCCCCCGAATGAATATTTACGAACGTCATACAGTAGTTTGTCCAGCGCTGTAGATTTTAACCAATGACGATAGGTAGAGTTCGCTTTTTAGACACGTCTTATTTATTTATTGAAATTTATTTGTCACATATCGTCATAAGTTAGCCTATATGTTAATCTGGGTTATAAACAATAATACTATAAAGTTTCAACAAAATCCGTACAGTAATTTTTGCGTGAAAGAGTAACAAACATCCAGACATCATGACATCCAGACATCCGAACTTTCGCCTTTATAATATTATAGTAGGATAGGATATTCACAATCCAAACTAATATTTACTATTTAGCATTTACTTACAGTAAATATATTAGTTTGGTTTTCACAATCGAACGGGTGCGAATCGACCCCTTTGAGAACTAGTAATCGCATACTACTAGTTCAAAAAAGAGTCGATTCGCACGCGATTTTAATACTTCTAATACATCCGGGCGAAACGCCTACTAAAAAAAAATTATTATTGAAAGGGGACGTTTCGCATATTCGTGCGAAGGAAAATCGTGCGAAACTACTACTAACCCAATAGGGGGTAATAGGATGTGTTGGTAAAATATGATCAGTTAAAAAAATAACACCTTATATAAAAACCGAAAAATTCTTATTCTTATATTATTCTAATTATGTAAGAGCATAATTATTAAAGTCGAAGTCAAACATTCTTTATTTGTGTGGACCTATATTAACGAGAGATTACAAGGCGTCAAATATTTCAAGAAAAAAATTAAAAACTATTATAAAGCTAAATTTTGCTCTCATGGAGCCTTTACCTACTCTGACAAATCAAGACTTAAAGAAGAAACT